GGGGAGGAGGCTTCACATGCTGACCCTGCCCCCAGCAAAATTTCTCAGCTCCTATTGGCAAGAAACTGGCCAGTGGGAGCTGAGAGATTTTACTGAGGAAGTGAGGGCAGCATGCCAACCCTTCCTCCTCTCTCCCCAGCATCTAGAGCAGAATGCAGTTGGCCATTTAAAGAGTGAGCTGCTCTCTGCCTAAGGGTTCCGGAGAGGCAGCTATGGTGGATCTGGTGGCTTGGCTATTATTCACACACCTCTAGTTTCAAATGCTGTTGTATAAATTATTTTGTCCCATGCAAAGTTTTTATACCTCAGTTTCCCTATGCAGTTGCATTTGTCTAATTAAATCCTTCAGTGATGAAATGGTGCTCAGAAAACATTTCCTTTCCTCAAGCCACAATTCTGGCCCTTGTTTAAGAGACATTATATCCCTTTCACTGTCAGGAAATTCTGTGAGAGATAGCACTTGTACACCTTCCTGATGCACTGCTCTCAGCAAACCCTGTAACAATAACAGGAAAAAAAATTGTAAGTACTGAGTGATAGTCATAACAGTGATCTTGGCTGAGGCACAGTAGAATCTGCCATCAGAAAAAAAGAGGCTGGTTATGCAAGGAAAAGCAATGTCTACTTACCAACTTACCCACGAATCTATCCCTGCAACAAACCCCATTGCTAATTCTGTCCACATATCTATACAAGTGATGCCATTACAGGACCTAAGCACATAAGCCACACCATCAACTTGCATATCCACTAACGTGATATAGGCCAGCAAGTCCCAGCAATGCCCTTTGCTATGTATATTGGCCAAACTGGACAGTCTCTACATCAAAGGATAAATGGACACAAATCAGACATCAGGAAAGGTAACATACATAAACCTGTAGGGGAACATTTAACCTCCCTGGACATTCAGTAATTAATTTAAAAGTAGCCATCCTGCTACAAAAGAATTTCAAAACCCAAATACAAAGGGACACAGCTGAATTGGGGTTCATTTGTAAATTCAGTACAATCAACTTATGTTTAAATAAGAATTCTAACTGCCACTTCCACTTAGCATCCCCTCTCCCCCCAGAAACAAATACTGAAGCAGCCACTGAAGTTCATTACAAAAAAAAAAAAAAAAAAATCTATTACATTAGTTCTGCAAATTTGAACTGAGTTCTCGACAGAAACTTATATTTTTAAAAAGTAAGTCTTGGAAATTTTCCATTCAAATTTTGTGTTATGCTTTTGAAGTTTGTATACAGGCTAGGACTAGCCCATTTGGGAACATATTCTTCTTTATAATTATTAGAAAGGGAAATAGCATATTTTCATTTGACAAAACTGTTTATGTAGTGCTGGCTTTTGCTAGTAGCCAATATATACATAGCGGTGATAATTAAAAATCATAGAATGGAATCATAGAACACTAGAACTGGAAGGGACTTCGAGATCATCGAGTCCAGTTCCCTGCCCTCATGGAAGGACCCAGTAACATCTAGACCATCCCAGACAGATGTCTATCTAACCTGCTCTTAAATATCTCCAGAGATGGAAATTCCACAACCTCTCTAGGCAACTTATTCCAGTGTTTAACCACCCTGAAAGTTAGGAAGTTTTTCCTAATGTCCAACCTAAACCTACCTTGCTGCAGTTTAAGCCCATTGCTTCTTGTCCTATCCTCAGAAGCTAAGGAGAACAATTTTTCTCCCCCCTCCTTGTGACACCGTTTTAGATACCTGAAAACCGCTATCATGTCCCTTCTCAGTCTTCTCCTTTCCAAACTAAACAAGCCCAATTCTTTCAGTCTTCCTTCATAGGTCATATTCTCTAGACCTTTAATAATTCTTGTTGCTCTTCTCTGGATCTTCTCTAATTTCTCCACATCTTTCTTGAAACGTGGTGCCCAGAACTGGACACAATACTCCAATTGAGGCCTAATCAGCACAGAGTAGAGCGGAAGAATGACGTCTCGTGTCTTGCTGACAACACACCTGTTAACGCAGCCCAGAATCATGTTTGCTTTTTTTTGCTACTGCATCACAACTGTTGATTCATTTAGCTTATGGTCCACTGTGACCACTAGATCCCTTTCTGCCGTACTCCTTCCTAGACAATCGCTTCCCATTCTGTATGTGTGAGACCGATGGTTCCTTCCTAAGGCTATGTCTAGACTGCAAGCCTCTTTCGAAAGAGGCTCTGTCTAGACTGCAAGCCTCTTTTGAAAGAGGCTCTTTCGAAAGATACTTTCGAAAGAGCCTCTTTCGAAAGAGAGCGTCTAGACTGCACGTTGAACTTTCGAAAAAGCAGCTTGCTTTTTCGAAAGAAAGCATCCAGTGAGTCTGGATGCTCTCTTTCGAAGAAGCCCTATTTACATTCAAGAACGCCTTCTTTCGAAAGAGGAACTTTCGAAAGAAGGCGTTCTTCCTCGTAAATTGAGGTTTACCGCCATCGAAAGAAAAGCCGCGTTCTTTCGATTTAATTTTGAAAGAACGCGGCTGCAGTCTAGACGCAGGTGAGGTTTTTTCGAAAAAAGGCTACTTTTTTCGAAAAAACCCCTGAGTCTGGACACAGCCTAAGTGAAATACTTTCCATTTGTCCTTATTAAACTTCATCCTATTTACCTCAGACCATTTCTCCAGTTTGTCCAGATCATTTTGTATTATGACACTCTCCTCCAAAGCAGTTGCAACCCCTCCCAGCTTAGTATCATCTGCAAAGTTAAAAAGCGTACTCTCTTATGCCAATATCTAAATAATTGATGAAGATATTAAACAGAACTGGTTCCAAAACAGACCCCTGCGGAACCCCACTTGTTATGCCTTTCCAGCAGGATTGTGAACAGTTACTTACTTTCTGAGAATGGTTATCTAGCCAGTTATGCACCACCTTATAGTAGCCCCCTCTAAGTTGTATTTGCCTAGTTTATTGATATGAATATCATGCAAGACCATATCAAATGCCTTACTAAAGTCTAGTTATACCACATCCACTGCTTCTCCCTAATCTACAAGACCTGTCATCCTATCAAAGAAAGCTATCAGATGTAGCTAGCTGTATCAGATGATAGAAAGCTATCAAATATAATTAAATAATTTTTAAAATATCTGCTATTTACAGGGCTCTTCCACTTTCCCCAGAAGAGAAGGCTGCAGATCTGTGCTTTAGTTTAGACAGTATTAAGGAGCTTTAAAATAATTTTGTTTTGAAAAAAAAAATTACATCACCGTGGTGTAGCCAGAAGGGCCCACTTGGTGAGCTCTGGCTTCAAGTGGGTGGGCAAGAATGGGAAGCAGGGGGGAATGGGACAGGAGGGGAGGAGAAAACCCTGATCCCAGAGCAGGGTAAGCCCCAGTGTCGCTGTACCACTCCCTGGCTGGCTCGCTGGGTGCACTGGGGCAGGCCTAGATGCAAAGTGGGTGGCCACAGCCCACTCAGGCTCAGCCATGGCTATACTCCTGTTACATTAGCTCCAATTTACCTTTATTTTCTTTGGAAGCAGATCTGTTGAAGTTTCATCTTCTTCTCCTATTCCTTCTGATACTGTGTCAGATCCCTGGCTCTGGGTAAGATAAATTCCTTGACTCCAGTCCGAACTAGAATCTAAAATAAAAGGAAAAACACTAAAGTTGAATTACTGTGAACTGTTTACATGACAGATAACAAAAAAGGTCACATGGTTGCAAAACATCAAAATTTTTTGTTTTGTCTTCTAAGCCTGGTTTCCTTTTTTGTGGATAAGTGTAAGCAATGCACATTGGAAAAAATAACCCCTACTATACATACAATATAATGGAGGATAATTTTGCTACAACTAATCAGGAAAGAGATCTTGGAGTTATCGTGGATAGTTCTCTGAAAATGTCCACGCAATGTGCAGTGGCAGCCAAAAAAGCAAATAGGATGCTAGGAATTATTAAAAAAGGGATAGAAAATAAGACGAAGAATATCTTACTGCCCCTATATAAAACTATAGTACGCCCACATCTTGAATACTGCGTACAGATGTGGTCTCCTCACCTCAAACAAGATATTTTGGCATTAGAAAAGGTTCAGAAAAGAGCAACTAAAATGATTAGGGGTTTGGAACAGGTCCTATATGAGAGGCTAAAGAGAGTGGGACTTTTAAGTGTAGAAAAGAGAAGACTGAGGGGGGATATGATAGAGGTATATAAAATCATGAGTAATGTGGAGAGGGTGAATAAAGAAAAGTTATGTACTTGTTCCCATAATATAAGAACTAGAGGACACCAAATGAAATTAATGGGTAGCAGGTTTAAAACTAATAAAAGAAAGTTCTTCTTCACAAAGTGCACAGTCAACCCACATGGAACTCCTTGCCAAAGGGGGCTATGAGGGCTAGGACTATGACAGAGTTTAAAGAGAAGCTAGATAATTTTATGAAGGTTAGGTCTATAAAAGGCTATTAGCCAGGGGATAGAAATGGTGTCCCTGGCCTCTGTTTGTCAAAGGCTGGAGAAGGATGGCAGGAGACAAATTGCTTGATCATTGTCTTCGGTCCACCCTCTCTGGGGCACCAGGCACTGGCCACTGTCGGCAGACAGGATACTGGGCTAGATGGACCTTTGGTCTGAGCCAGTATAGCCATTCTTACGTCCTTTTAGAACACAGCAGCAAAGAAAATAATTTAAAATTCAGGGAGACAGAACCAACACATTTATCTGAACACTACATGATCCTTTGCCAACTGACCCTTCTCAGTGTCTATAGTCTGTGCCTCCTGTAAAAGTTGAATCTATTTCTGATTGCTACTATAGAACAGAGTGTTTTAATTTTTGTGGTAAAAATGTGATGGGCTTCACTCACTCTGGTTGGTATACACATTCAGCTCTGCAGTCATGGAAAGAGGAGCATGTGATAAGTATTACAATGGGAAGGAGACAGTGGTATTGCCACTCATGCACCCTGAGAGATTTTGCCAGAGAACCGCAGCTTTAAATACCATCCAGGTCTCAGGAGTTGCCCTGGAGAGATGCTGAAAACAGTTAAAGAAAGGATAGAGGAACTCCATCTGAAGAGAAGGAACCAGCTTCCAATTTCTATCCTCAAGGCAACTAATATCCTCACTGGCACACATATTTTTGTCCTAGAGTAATTAAGAGTCACATAATATATAACGCTCTTTGCCTTTCCCAGATGTGACAGCATTTGTTTACTAAGGGATTTTCACTGCTGCTCCTGTTACAATTCCTTTTGTTACTGCAGGTTGGCTTTTGCTTTGCTTCTTGGGCTACCGTTCAGAAAGGAAGCTATTCCTTTAATACAGAAGGTTGTCAGGAAAACAGGGGATGAAGATCACAATGCTACTTAAAAATGGGGTTTGAATTGGCTCTAGTTTTCATTACAGACATTTGATATACTTAAGGGAAGATCATGGATAAAGAAAAGAGGAAGATACCACTTTTATAGGAGGCAAAAACTAAGGAATTTGGGGAAGGGATTACAGGCAGTCCCCGGGTTACGTACAAGATAGAGACTGTAGGTTTGTTCTGAAGTTGAATCTGTATGTAAGTCGGAACTGGCGTCCAGATTCAGCCGCTGCTGAAACTGATCAGTTTCAACAGCGGCTGATCATGGATAAAGAAAAGAGGAAGATACCACTTTTATAGGAGGCAAAAACTAAGGAATTTGGGGAAGGGATTACAGGCAGTCCCCGGGTTACGTACAAGATAGAGACTGTAGGTTTGTTCTGAAGTTGAATCTGTATGTAAGTCGGAACTGGCGTCCAGATTCAGCCGCTGCTGAAACTGATCAGTTTCAACAGCGGCTGA